GTCCTCCAAGGGCCCAGATGCCACCAGCCCCAAAGCCACACAATGGGGTTGGGGCAGCCTCTGAAGGATGCTTGGGGATGGCCGGAGGCATCGTCAGGCGTGTGGCTGGTGGTGGCCCGTCCCTCAGAGCTGAAGCGTTGTCCCCATCCCCAGAGCCTGGATGACGTGATCAAGGACTTGATGGCCGCCATCCACCGGGAGCTGGCGGAGAAGCAATCCCTGTCCTTCAGCATGGCCTTCCCCCCCAACAAGGTGGAGCTCAGCACCACCAAAGCTGATGGCACCGAGTCCTTCATCTTTGAGTTCCCCAACCCTGATGCCCGGCTCAGCTTTGAGCAAGCCTTCGAGGACGCCAAAAAAAAGCTGGGTAACACCAGGGAGTGGGGAGGTGGACGCGGTGGTGGGCTCGGCATCACGTCCCCGCTTTGGTAGACCCCTTTCCTCCATCACTTCATCCTCCAATTTGGTTTTCCCAGCTTCCAGCAAAAACTGCCTGGATCCAGAGTTCCTCAAGGCCATCCCCATCATGAAGACGCGGAGCGGGATGCAGGTACTCGGAGGCTGGATTCAAGCATCCCGCAAGAGCTGCGGTCCTCTCCATCCCGGTGGGCTTGCCGCTGGATGCCGAGAGCTCCTGCATCATTCCCCAATGACCCAACTCATCCCCTCTTTTGCTCCCTTGCAGTTTTCTTGTGCTTCTCCCAGCCACGGCAGCCCAGAAAGCTCCCACGAGGTTTGGGTTTGCAACAGCGATGGTTACGTGGGGCAGGTTTGTTTGCTCAGCATCCGTAAGGAGCCCACGGTGGAGGCGTGCATCGCCGTCTGCTCCGCCAGAATCCTCTGCATCGCCTCCGTGCCCGGTCTCAAGCGGGCGTATAGGTAGGACATTCCCACCGGCACCGCGGAGCCGGCGGGCACGGGGCGATGCTGGAGCTGCTTCTTTCCCCCCTCCCTTCGTCGCGGCAGGGAGCGTGCCGAGATGGTGGTGGCTGAGGCCGCCGCAGCTGGAGGAGGCGGGGCCGCAGCCGTGCCTGCACATCTCCATCTCGGGTTCGTCGCTGGAGCTCTCGGAGCCGGTCGACGGCGGCAACAGGGAGCTGGTGCCCTTCGATAGCGATGACACGGATGACGAGTCCTCGCCCAGTCCCTCGGGGACACTGCAGAGCCAAGCCAGCCACTCCACCATCTCCTCCAGTTTCGGCAGTGAGTCGGCCCCGGCCCCTGCTTACTGAAAAAAACACTTTTTTGCCCCCAGATGGTGGGCAGCTCCATCACTTTGGCCACTCTGCCTTGCGTTCCTTGGGGAAATCTGCGGGTGGAGGCTTTTGAGCCAAGGAAATCCTGTGAAAAGAGATGTCGGGGGCATCAGCCCAACGCTGTGGGGCTGGGATGGGGCTGGTGGCTTTGGGTAAAACCTGATGGGTTTTGGAGCTCAGCATCCCTGCATCCTTCCCCGGGATTGACATCGTAAGGGGACCCATGGTCTCTTCCCCGTCACTTTGGTGGGCGTTGGGTGGTCCTGGTCTGACCTATTCCTTCCTCCACCTCCACAGATGAAGAGATCCCAAGCTGCAAGGAGGCAACGGCGGAGACGACGAGCTCAGAGGAAGAGCAAGAACCCGGCTTCATGCCCATCTCTGGCACCTACGGCCAAAACCGGCACGGCGAGAGCCCCACGGATGGGCGAGCCCTGCGCCGCTCCAGCCGCGGCTCCTTCACCCGGGGCAGCCTCGAGGACCTCCTCAGCCTTGACCCCGAAGCCCATCAGAGCTCCATGTGGCTGGGCACCGAGGATGGCTGGTACGTCCCCAGGATGGGGGGACACATACGTGGGGTGGACCCCGATCCCAGGTGAACCTCAAGGTTTGCTCTTCTTCCGCAGCATCCACGTGTACCAGTCCTCGGACAACATCCGTAACAGGAAGAACAGCATGAAGATGCAACACGCCGCTGCTGTCATGTGCATCTTGTAAGCGGGGAAGGGGGATTTTCAGCTCCGGGATGTCCATAGCGGGGTTGTTTGGGGTGGCTGAGGAGGGCTCTACAACCGGTTGTCAAAGTTTTTTTCCTTGCAGGTACCTGGATAACCAGGTTTTCGTGTCGTTGGCCAACGGGGAGCTTGTCGCGTACCAACGGGAGGCAGGTGAGGCCGGATCAGGGACATCAAAAGGCACTGATGGGGTTAAATGCAGCCCCAAAGCGGTGCCTGTTGGGTGGGCGGCTTGGGCAGCCACCCTGGGGGGGGATGCTCAGGGTGCTGGTGGTTTCCCTGCCTCTGCGGGAAGGGAAGGGACATCCCTCGAGGGGTGCTGGAGACCCCAAAATCGGAGCCAGATGGAGGTGTGCATCCTCCTCCTGGTCCCTGCTTGCCGCTGGCATCCCCTGGGGACATCAGCTCATGTCCCTGCTAAAGGGGGACCCTGAGATGGGCATCTCCAGCCACCGCATCCCATTGGCTGGGTCAAGGTGGGTTTTTTTGGGGGATGCTTTACCCGCCCCACTGCCACCACCCTCACAGGCCGCTTCTGGGACCCCCAAAACTCCAAGTCCCTGTCCCTGGGCTCGCCGGGGAGCCCCATCACCAAGATGGTGGCAGTGGCGGGGGGGGGGCGGG